CTCCAATAAGCCACTAGAAAACCGGAAGTGGTGCTGTGGCTCAAGCAGTAGAGTGCTTGCCTTGAGCTGAAGAGTGCAGGGACAACTCCCAGGCCCAGAGTTCAAGCCCCACGACTGACCAAAAAAACAAAAAACAAAATAAAAAAATCTCAGGGACAATATCCAGGCTCTGAATTCAAGCCCCAGGATCGGCACACACAAAAAAATGTTTTTGAGGGGCTGGGAAGGTGGCTCAGTGGTAGAGTGCTTGCCTCGCATGGATGAGGCCCTAGGTTTGATTCCTCAGCACCACATAAGCAGAAAAAGCTGGAAATGGTGCTGTGACTCACGTGGTAGAGCACTAGCCTTGAGCTGAAGAGTTGAGGGACAGAGCCCAGGCCAAGTTCAAGACCCACAACCAACAACAACTTTTTGAATTACAGGCAGGCATGAACTACAGTACCTGGCTACTCATTTGATGATATATTTGGGAGGGATCCAGATACTCTATCCTGAAATGCTTGGAAGCCTGGAAAGAAAATGTTAGCCGAATCTGCCACTTGAAAACAAGCTGGAATCTCGGGTCAGGTTAACTTGCAAACAATGGCCTGTCCTAGTACCACCTAGTGGACAATAAAAAACCAACACATGGGCTCTGAAACTTGAGGGTAACTATCTAGTGTCTGATCACATTGTTGAGGAACGTGGCACAAGGAATCTTGCTTTATAGCTATTACCTGGGTACAGTCTTACCCTGCCAAGGTATGGATTAGAGGTTCATGGAAAGAAAGGAGTAATCTGCTTGAAATGGGCCAAAAGATGGTTATCTAAGCAGGTGATGTCATTCACAGTGTAATCCTAACTAGTCTCAGAAGGCTGATTTGAGAATTGAGGTTTGGAGTCAGCATGGGCTGACTCATCGTTATCATGATCATGATCATCATCATCGTAAGTAAGATTCCGATCTCCAATAAACCACAAAAAAGCTGGAGGTGAAGCTGTGGCTCAAGCAGTAGAGTAAGGGACAGCCAAGCACCTGTGGTTTATGTCTATAAATCCTAGCTACTCCAGAGGCTGAGATCTAAGGATCATGGTTCAAAGCCAGCCTGGGTAGGGAAACATTTATCTCCAATTAACCACCAAAAAGCTGTAAGTAGAGCTGTGGTTTAAGTGGTAGAGTACTAGCCTGGAGCAGAAAAGCTCAGGGACAGTACCTAGGCCCTGAGTTCAAGCTTCAGGACCAGCAAGCTAAAATAGCTAATTATTGGCAGGAGGTGAGACTCAGCAATATAGGGCCTGCTTAGCAAGCACAAGACTCTGAGTTCAAATCCTAGCCCACAAAAACAAATAAAATGCTAGCCACTTAAAACAATTAAATATATGTATATTGCTGGAGACATACATACGTTTTTTGGTGGTACTAGGATTTGAAACAGACTTTGCTAGGCAGAAAGAGTATTACAGAACCACACCTCTAGTCCTTTTTCATGCTGGTTTTTTTTTTTTTGTCAATCCTGGGGCTTTAACTCAGGGCCTGGGCACTGTCCCTGAGCTGCTTTTGTTCAAGACTAGTGTTCTAAGCTGGGCACTGGTGGCTCACTAGTGCCTGTAATCCTAGCTACTCAGGAGGCTGAGATCTGAGGCTCATGGTTCAAAGCCAGACCAGGCAGGAAAAATCCATGAGATTTTTTTTTTTGGGGGTCTAGTCGTGGGGCCTGAACTCTGGGCCTGGGTGCTGTCCCTCAGCTCTTCAGCTCAAGGCTAGCGCTCTGCCACTAAGCCACCTTCCCAGCCCAATCCATGAGATTTTTAGAATTCTTTGTTTTTGTTTTTGTCAGTCATAGGGCCTGAACTGTGGGCCTGGGCGCTGTCCCAGATCAAGGCTGGCGCTCTACCGCTCTACTACTTGAGCCACAGCGCCACTTCCGGCTTTTTCTGATTATATGGTGCTGAGGAATCAAACCCAGAGCCTCATGCATGCAAGGCAAGCATTCTACTACTGAGCCACCCTCTCAGCCCCAATCCATGAGATTTTTATCTCCAATAAACCACCAGAAAACCAAAAATGACGCTGTGGTTCAAGTGGTAGAGCATTCACCTTGAGCTGAAGAACTGAGGGATTGCGCCCAAGCCCAGAGTTCAAGCCCCACAACCGACCAAAAAAAAAAAAAGGGGGCTGAGAAGGTGGCTCATGCCTTGCATGCACGAGGCCCTGGGTTCAATTCCTCAGCACCACATAAGCAAAAAGAAAAAAGCCAGAAGTGGCGCTGTGGCTCAAGTGATAGAGTGCTAGCCTTGAGCTGAAGAGCTGAGGGACAGAGCCCAGGCCCAGAGTTCAGGCCCCACGACCGGACCCCCCCCCCCCCCCACCGCCAAAAAAAAAAAGACTAGTATTCTACTGTTCTACCACTTAAGCCACAGCTCCATATCTGTTTTTTGTTGTTGTTGTTTTTTGGTCCGGTCATGGGGCCTGAACTCTGGGCCTGGGCGCTGTCCCTCAGCTCTTCAGCTCAAGGCTAGCACTCTACCACTTGAGCCACAGAGCCACTTCCGGCTTTTTTCTTTTTGCTTATGTGGTGCTGAGGAATCGAACCCAGGGCCTTATGCATGCAAGGCAAGCGCTCTACCACTGAGCCACCTTCCCAGCCCCCATGTCTGGCTTTTTTTTGTTGTTGTTGTTGGTCGGTCGTGGGACCTGAACTCTGGGCCTGGGCGCTGTCCCTCAGCTCTTCAGCTCAAGGCTAGCGCTCTACCACTTGAGCCACAGCTCCACTTCCATTTTTTTTTTCTTTTTTGCTTATGTGGTGCTGAGGAATCGAACCCAGGGCCTCATGCATGCAAGGCAAGCGCTCTACCACTGAGCTACTTTCCCAGCTCTGGCTTTTTTTTAAAGTAATATTTTATTATATGGTAAAGGTGATGTACAGAGAGGTTACAGTTACATAAGGTAATGCGTACATTTCTTGTAGAACAGTGTTACCCACTCCTTTGTTTTCGCCCACTTTCCCTCTCCCCAATATCTGGCTTTTTTTGGTAACTTATTGGAGGTAAGAGTACTCTCCTGCATGGGCTAGCTTTGAACCATGATCCTCAGATCTGTCTCCTCAGTAGCTAGGATTATACATGAGCCATTGGTGCCTGGCAGAGCACCAATCTTGAGCAAAAAAGTTAATTGACAAAGCCCAAGTCCTGAGTTCAAGCCCCAGTACTGGCAGCCACCATTCCCACGCTCCCTCGCCCCAAAAAAGGAGTTAGGAGGAATGCTTTCAGGAGCAGGACCAGTAGAAGCAAGGACTGAGGCTTAGAAACAATGTCAGAAATGGCTCGTTTGATGAATTGAAGCTAGTTCAATATACTTGGAGTAGTTTGACTAGAGTTGGTAAATGGTAAATGATGCTGGGGCTGAGAATGTGGCTTAAAGGTAGAGTGATAGCCTAACATGCACAAAGCCCTGGGTTTCATTCCTCAGTACCACATAAACAGAAATAGTTGGAAGTAATGCTATGGCTCAAGTGGTAGAATGTTAACCTTGAGCAAAAAGAAGCTCAGGGACAGTGCACAGGCCCTGAGTTCAAGCCCCAGGACTGGCAGAAAAGAAAAAAAAAGAAAAGAAATTTTGCAGGAATTAAGGAAGAACCCAGGGCTTGAGTGCTGGCCTTGAGCTTCTTTTACTCATTAGCAGTGTTATCACTTGAGTCATAGCACCATTTCTGGCTTTTTCTGTATGTGGCACTGAGGAATCAAACCCAGGGCTTCATTCATGCTAGGCAAGCACTCTACCACTAAACCATATTCCCAGCCCATGTAGGATCTTCTGAATGAAGCTAAGAACTTTGAATATCTGAGCTATCTGATTATCACTGAGGTCCCTGCTGCCAGCAGAAAAAGAACATGTAGTAACCAAGAGTGTGATGATCAGCAGTCACAAAAATTGAGTGGCAGCTCTTTTTGGTTTAAAGTTCTTCAACCTATATCATTAGTTTGGCCCTTCGGGGTCAAACAGTAAAGAAGGTATAAAAACCACATTGCTATCTGCCATAATAACAATCACACATAAATTAACAGGTCAAGCCAGACACTGGTGCCTCATACCTGTAATCCTAGCTACCCAGGAGGCTGAGCTCTGAGGACTGGAGTTCAAAGCTAGTCTGGGCAGGAAAGTCTGTGAGACTTTTATCTCTACTAAACTACAAAAAAAGCCGGAAGTGGAGCTATGGCTCCAATGGTAGAGTTCTAGCCTTGAGCAAAAGCAGCTCAGGATGACATCCAGGCCCTCAGTTCAAGCCCCAGAACAAGCACAGATGCACAGACACACACAATTAACTCATCAAAAGTAAATTTGTTCCTATTTTAGATTATAATACAAATTTTTCTTCACTGAAATCTGAGCAAATGTACCAAAATCAGTGTTGCTTACTTCTCACACACTAGTGGGTTTTGTTTTTTGGTTGGACATGGGGCTTGAACTCAGAGCCTGGGCACTATCCCTGTGCTTTTCCATTCAAGGCTAATGCTCTACCACTTTGAGCCACAGTGCCACTTCTGGTTTTGGGGTAGTTAATTGGAGCCAAGAGTCTCATAGGGATTTTTCAGCCTGGCTGAAAAACATACAGCCTTGGAAAGAACTAGGTCACTGAAGAGACCATTAGACCTAAATCCTGAAGCTTTTCAGTTCCTTCCAAAGTGCGAGAAAGATTGAGATCTGCTCCCTTCTACAAGTGCAGGCAAACAATCCTGAGATCTCAGCCTCCTGAGTAGTTGGGATTACAGGTGTGAGCCACTGGCACCTGGATTCACACACTAATTTTTCAACAACTAAGAGGTAGGGATATAGCTCAGTGGTAGAGCACTTGCCTAGCATGTATAAGGTGCTAGGTTTGATTCCCAGCATCACAAAACAACAACAACAACAAAAACCAAGTAACTAAATAAGCAAAGGAAATATTCCCAGTATGTCTTCTGTACCAAATTCACAGATCAACTACTAAGATCTAAAAACAAAGAGACAAGGTTTGACCATATGTTGTCTACTTGAGTTTATTATTGTACTCTTTAAAAAAAAAAAAAAAAAAAGGTTAGGATGGCTAGGGAAAAATGTCATCAACACTGTAAACAGGAACCAAGACTCCAGAACTTGGGTGCATTCTCTAAACCCTAGCCTCAGTTCTCAAGAGATTCCATTCCCACCCACCCGATTTTCTTTTAAACAAAGACACCCAAATCAGCAGCAGAGGTACCTGGGGTAGTCACTGAGATTTTGAACACTAAGAATTGGAGGGAAAATGTCCAAAAAATAGGAATTGGGGAGAAAAGGGAAGGAATGAAGGAGAGGCTAGGTTTTGGAGGACAGAGCTGGGCGGCAAGAAGTGGAAAGGAGCCAATCTGAGGCATACCCCACTTGACTGCATCTGCCCATGCTCCCGGGGTCCCAGATAGCCCCACGGTTTGTTCTGCAGTCTACTTCCTATTCCCACAGGCCTCACAGGCCTAGCTCCAAGTCCTCCAGCTCTTCCTCCAGCGCCCTCCTCCTTGCTAGCTTCTCCAGCTGCTCTTTGCTGGGCTGGCTGACTTCCCCGGCCTGGATCCGCTGCTGTAGCTCCTCCACCTGACGAAGCTTCTTCTTTAGGCTCTTTATCTTCTTGGCTTTCTCTGTGGTGGCCGCTGAGTCAGGCGGGTCCGAGGCAGCTGTAGGGGCTGCCTGGGTGATTTGCAGAGCACTGGGGAGTTGGATTGTCTCTCCTAAAGACACCTTCTCAAGAGTCCGGCTCAAGGCCTCTGCCTCTCCTTTCTCTTGCTGTTGCCGCCTCTTCTCCTTTCGTTTCAGGTTGCGTTTGGCGGTCTTGGAGAGGCCTGGTTCACCACCTTCTGGTCTAGATGGGGTAACAGGGGTGGTGGCTTCAGGGCTCAGCCCTGGAGGCAGCTCTGGTTTACTCTTGAAAAACTTCACATACTTATTTTCATACCTGCAGGAAACAAGATGTCAACAGAGTCTCCAAGAAAAACTGACTTTTCAGTCCTTTTCCTAACCTTCCAAATCAAGTAACTTATCACATTCCTACTTCCTTGCTTTCTTTGGATCCCTCCCCAACTTCATGCTGTAGAAGATGCTACAGGAGGGTCCCAAGGACCCAAATCATTGAAGTTCTCACTTCTATTTGTAAATTCTGATGAATAGTGGCCACAGGAACAAACTAGTCACATGGAACTCCCACTTACCCCTGAATCCCAGCTCCTTCCTCTCCTTTCTCAGACAGTTGCCCCTCCTTCCATTTCCTTGGGGCTCGGGAGAGTCATCCCTAAACTTGTAGGCACACATATTCTATCCTTCTGTAGGGACCTCATTAAATACCCCCACCTCAAGCCTAAGCACGCACACTGGGACCTCCTCCTGGGGCACATAGCCTTCTTTCACCCTCCGCTGCTTGCGCCAGGTCCCATCAGGTCGTTGTGTTGACGCGATGTACTTGCCTGAAATTGGAGAAACCAAGTTGAATTAACTTTCTTATTTTCAAACAATTGCCCATGTTGAGTGCCAATGGGTCATGCCTATAAATCCTAGCTACTTCGTAGGTTGAAATCTGGAAGATGAAGGTGGGAGGCCAGCCCAGACAGAAAAGTTCATTAGACTCCATCTCCAAATAATCACCAGAAAAACAAAAAGGAAGGCTGGAAGCATGGCTCAAGTAGCATAGCACCAACTTAGTGAGCATTAACTCTTGAATGGAAATTTCAGTGCCACTAAAAAACAAACAAAAATACTCAAACATTTCTCAGGATGAGAAGTATGCATAAATGTACACAACTCCCACAAGAACCCACCAAATGCAAATCTGTTACCATATCAACCCTGAAACCCTAATTCTATCATTATTTACAGAGTGGCTATGTACTATACAATACACCAACCGTTCCCTCAGAGAGGGTGTATTTTGATAGTTTATGTAAGACATGACAAGCATAGAAGATGACATTTTTTAAAACATAAGGCAACAGCAAAGGGATATTAAAGGCAGTAAATAAGAGGTTGAAGAGAAAAAAAACAAGAACCATATGGGGGGAAAGTATCTGAAAAATGTTATAGAGAAGGCGAAATTTTATTTAGATGGACTCTGAAGAACAAAACAACTTGAAGGAATACATACTGTAAGCTGGTCATGGTATTGCATGCCTGTAATCCCAGTATTCTCAGCACAGGAGGGTAGGTAGAGGTATCTCAAGTTCGAGGCAGTCTGGGTTACACAGCAAGACCATGTCTCCAAAAACAACAAAAAACTAACCAGGAATATACCACTGAAAACATAAAGACACGAGTACACAAGAATATATGTAAAGGATGTTTGTTGACACACGTTACTTAAACTAGCAAAAAGCTGAAAGCAATTTAAATGGTCACTAACAGATGATTAAATAGATTTGGTTCATTCACACAATGGTGCACTACAATGATGTTAAAAAGAATGCTAGGGGCCGAGAATGTGGTTAGTGGTAGAGTGCTTGCCTAGCATGCATGAAGCTCTGGGTTTGATTCCTCAGTACCACATAAACAGAAAAAGACAGAAATGGCACTGTGGCTCAAGTGATAGAACGCTAGCCCTGAACGAAAGAAGCTCAGGGACAGCGCCCAGGCCCAGTGCCAAGGACTGGCAAAAAAATTTTAAAATTGATAGAAGCTGGGTACTGGTGGCTCACACCTGTAATTCTAGCTACTCAGGAGGCTGAGTAGCTAGTTCAAAGCCAGCCTGGGCAGGAAGGTCCTTCAGACTCATCTCCAATTAACCACCAGAAAACCAGAAGTAGCACTATGGCTCAAAATGGTAGAGCAGTGGCTTTGAGCAAAAGAGCTCAGGGACAGCACCCAGGCCGAGTTCAAGGCCCACAATCAACAGAAGGAAAAAAAAAAAGGTTAGAATTGGTCATGGAGGTACATGTGGCTCTCTACTCTAGGCGCTAGGGAGGCTGAGCAAGAATCAAAGGTTTGAGGCCAGCCTGGGATGCATAGCAAGACTGAATAGTGTTTAGGATATACTGAAATGAAGAAACACACTACAGGAACACGCGCAGAAGTCCTCAAACTGTTTTACTTCAGTAATTTTTTAACTCCTGTTTTGTGTTATATCACTTGAGCCACACCTTCACTTTTTTACTAATTAATTGGGAGATTAAAGTCCCTTGATTTTGCCTGGACTGGCTTCTAACTGATCTCAGCCTCCTGATAGCTAGGATTATAGATATGAGCCCGTGGTACCTAGTTATTATCCATTTCTTTATGCAATAATGAAAAATTAAATTCATTAATTCCTTCAGAAAGGTCATTAAGTACTGAGAAGCTTTCAAGCACACAGGACAGACAGAATTTTTTTTTTTTGGGGGGGGGGTCCGGTCGTGGGGCCTGAACTATGGGCCTGGGCGCTGTCCCTCAGCTCTTCAGCTCAAGGCTAGTGCTCTACCACTTGAGCAACAGCACCACTTCCGGCTTTTTTTTTTGCTTATGTGGTGCTGAGGAATCGAACCCAGGGCCTCATGCATGCAAGGCAAGCGCTCTACACTGAGCCACCTTCCCAGCCCCAGACAGATTTTTCAAAATTCTAATTTTCACTTGAGAGTTTGAATTTTGTCATGGGAAATAAATACAGTTGTTTTCCTTGAAATGACAAGGTTGCTTCTTTCATTTTCTGGAAAACAACTGCCACATATATCTCAATTACCAGTTTGTTAAAAATTCTTTCAAATAAAACTGGTGTCCATGAAAAGGAAGCCTGTTTGGCTGGCAGCTGGAATAATTGTGCAAGTGTTTTTCCTGGAGACAATCATATTTCAGTCTGTTTCATGCTTTCTTCCCTTTAGCAACAAAAAAATGCTGAAAAGATGTGTAATCAAGGGCCACAGCTTAATAATCATTGTTATTGCACAATCAAATGATCTTACGTGAAAGTGGACAATCTACTACAAGTGTGTGGCAATGAAAAACACAACTGACTAGTGTTATTTGGTGCTATCACCTTGGCAATTTCATACTTAATGGGTCAGCAGTATTACTCACCAGTGCAAAACTCAGTTAAACCAGTTAAAAAGTCAATCCAAGCAAGGAGTCAATGGCTCACACTTGTAATCCTAGCTACTTAGAAGGCTGAGATCTGAGGATTGCAGTTTGAAGCCAAATGAGGCAGAAAAGTCCATCTGATACTCTTATCTCCAATTAACCACTCAAAAACTGGAAGTGGCACTGTGGCTCAAAGGTAGAGTACTAGCCTTAAGCACAAAGAGGCTCAGGGACAGTATCTAGGCCCTGAGTTCAAGCTTCACAACCAACAAAAAAAGAAAAAAAAAAAAAAGAAAAAACTCCCCACCAAGATTGGTATATACCAAGATTGGTATATAGTGAGTAAAAGAGACACAGGAGACAGTGAGGATTTTTGAGGAGGTGGGGCCTAAGTATAATAGTATGGACACAAATTATGAAAAAAAAAAAGAAAGAGGAACATGGAAGGAAGATGAAGATTAGGCCTAGGCTCTGAAGAAAGGGTCAGACTAAAATAAGTGAAAAGGGATACAGAATAGATTTGAAACTGCTCATTCTAAAACAAAAGGCAGATATGGGATGTAGGTGGCATTTTCAGGAGATGGCAAATAGACCAAGCTGGCTGAGCCAGAGAAACAGCTAGAAGAGAGGAGGATGTTCAGACCATGAATGTTAATATGGCACATGGCACACATTCAATAAATATTTGCCAAATGAATGAATCCTTTATCCAAAGCAATGTTTTAGGACAATTAATCCAGCAATGATGAGAAGCCGATTTGGAAAAGAAAAACGCAAGAGACTGGGGAAGCCAGTTATGAAAAAGACTGCAATAACGTGGCACGAAGGGGCAGAACCGGCTGAAGCAGTGAGAACACAAAGGAAGAGATTCACACTAAATACGTTATCAAAAAACCAACAGTATTTGGTAATTCACTAATTAGGAGAAGGTTAAAAAGCAAAAATAGGGGCTGGGAATGTGGCTTACGGGTAGAGTGCTTGCCTAGCATGCATGAAGCCCTGGGTTCAATTCCTCAGTACCACATACACAGAAAAAGCTGGAACCGGCACTGTGGCTCAAGTGGTAGAGTGCTAGCCTTGAGCAAAAAAAGCTCAGGAACAGTGCCCAGGCCCTGAGTTCAAGCACCAGGACTGGCAAAAAGAAAAAGAAAGAAAGAAAAAATAATTCAACACTCTTAGAAATTTCAATTGTAAGAATTTAACATTAAGAATTACTCCAGCTGGGGGCTGGGAAGGTGGCTCAGTGGTAGAGCGCTTGCCTTGCATGCATGAGGCCCTGGGTTCGATTCCTCAGCACCACATAAGCAAAAAGAAAAAAGCCGGAAGTGGCGCTGTGGTTCAAGTAGTAGAGCGCTAGCCTAGAGCTGAAGAGCTGAGGGACAGCGCCCAGGCCCAGAGTTCAGGCCCCACGACCACACCCCAAAAAACAAAACAAAACAAGAATTATTCCAACTAGGCACCAGTGGCTCATGCCTGCAATGCTAGCTACTCAGAAGGCTGAAATCTGAGGATTGAGGTTCAAAGCCAGCCTGGGCAGGAAAGGCCATGAGACTCATCTCCAACCACCAGAAAACCAGAAGTAGCACTGTGGCTCAGGTAGTAGAGCTCTTGCCTTGAGCTGAACTCAGGGACAGTGCCCAGGCCCTTAGTTCAAGCTCCAGGAATGGCAAAAAAAAAAAAAGAAAGAAAGAAAAAAAGAAAAGAAAAAGAAAAAAACTATGTGCAAATTGTGATATCTGTAAGATCTGTAAAGTAGCAAACAATTTAAGATAAACTTCAAATTCAATTTTACAGAAATGGAGATATATATGAGAATTGTGGTTTAAATCCAGCTTGGGTAGGAAAGTCCATGAGACTCTTATATTCAATTAACCACCAGAAAACCACAGTGACAACTCAAAACTAGTAGAGCACTAGCCTTGAGCAAGAGCTTGGGGATGTGTTCAAGCCTTACCATCTACCAAAAAAATAGCTGGAAATGGCACTGTGACTCAAAGCGGCAGAGCACTAGCCTTGAGCAAAAGAGCTTGGGGACATGACCCAGGCCCTGAGTCAAGCCCCAGGACCAGCACATACACACAAAAAAATCATGCAACCTGGTAGAAGAAAAATTATAAAGGGCCAGGCTCTGGTGATTCACACCTGTAATCCTAGCCATCAGGAGACTGAGATCTGAGGAGGGGGGCTCAACATCAGCCAGTACAGGACCTTACCTCCAATTAACCATTAAAAAAAGAAAAAAAAAAAAAAGGCAGAAGTGGAGCTGTGGGTCAAGTGTTAGTGCTAGCCTTACACAAAAAATGCTTAAGGACAGCACCCAAGCCATGAGTTCAAGCCCTATGACCAGCACACACAAAAAAAACAAGAGCCAGATGCTATGGCTTACACCTATAACCCTAGCTATTCAGGAGGCTGAGATGTGAAGACTAAAGTTCAAAGCTAGCTTGGGCAGGAAAGTTTGTGAGATTCTTATTACCAATTAAGCACCAAAAGCCAGAAATGGAGTTGTGGCTTGAGTAATGAGTGCTAGCCTTGAGCACAAAGTTTCAGGGACAGCATTCAGGCCCTGTGTTCAAGCTGTGTACCTGGACATATACCAAAACAAAACAAAACAAAAAAAAACAACAAAAACATAAAAAAAACACCCAAGAAACTAAATATAATGCCATGTGGGTGGTATACACGCAAATCCCAGCACTCCAGAGTCTAAGGCTATAAGACGAAAATTCAAAGACAGACTATCTCAAACAAAAACAGAAACAAAACTAAGTTCGTTAGGAAATAACAAAAAAAAGCAGATATAGGGCTGGGAAGGTGGCTCAGTGGTAGAGCGCTTGCCTTGCATGCTCAAGGCCCTGGGTTCGATTCCTCAGCACCACATAAGCAAAAAGAAAAAAGCCAGAAGTGGCACTGTGGCTCAAGTGGTAGAGCACTA